AAGCATTTGATAAAATACAACACCCTTTCATGATGAAAACTCTAAGCAAACTGGGTATGGAAGGAACATTCCTCAATACAATCAAAGCAATCTATGAAAAACCCATGGCCAACATCCTATTGAATGGGGAAAAGTTGGAAGCATTTCCACTGAGATCTGGTACCAGACAGGGATGTCCACTCTCACCACTGCTATTCAATATAGTTCTGGAGGTTCTAGCCAGAGCTATTAGGCAAGAAAAAGAAATTAAAGGGATACAAATTGGGAAGGAAGAACTCAAACTATCCCTCTTTGCAGATGACATGATTCTTTATTTAGGGGACCCAAAGAACTCTACTAAGAGACTATTGGAACTCATAGAAGATTTTGGCAAAGTAGCAGGGTATAAAATCAATGCACAAAAATCAACAGCCTTTGTATACACAGACAATGCCATGGCTGAGGAAGAACTTCTAAGATCAATCCCATTCACAATAGCTACAAAAACAATCAAATACCTTGGAATAAACTTAACCAAGGATGTTAAAGATCTCTACGATGAAAATTACAAAACCTTAAAGAAAGAAATAGAAGAGGATACCAAGAAATGGAAAAATCTTCCATGCTCATGGATTGGAAGAATCAATATCATCAAAATGTCCATTCTCCCAAAAGCAATTTATAAATTCAATGCAATACCAATCAAGATACCGAAGACCTTCTTCTCAGATCTGGAAAAAATGGTGCTGAAATTTATATGGAGGCACAAGAGACCTCGAATAGCTAAAGCAATCTTGTACAACAAAAACAAAGCCGGAGGCATCACAATACCAGATTTCAGGACATACTACAGGGCAGTTGTAATCAAAACAGCATGGTACTGGTACAGAAACAGATGAATAGACCAATGGAACAGAATTGAAATACCAGAAATCAACCCAAACATCTACAGCCAACTTATATTTGATCAAGGATCTAAAACTAATTCCTGGAGCAAGGACAGTCTATTCAATAAATGGTGCTGGGAAAATTGGATTTCCACGTGCAGAATCATGAAGCAAGACCCCTACCTTACACCTTACACAAAAATCCACTCAACATGGATTAAAGACCTAAATCTACGACCTGACACCATCAAGTTACTAGAGAACATTGGAGAAACCCTTCAAGATATTGGCACAGGCAAAGAATTTCTGGAAAAGACCCGGGAGGCACAGGCAGTCAAAGCCAAAATCAACTATTGGGATTGCATCAAATTGAGAAGTTTCTGTACTGCAAAAGAAACAGTCAGGAGAGTGAAGAGACAACCGACAGAATGGGAAAAAATATTTGCAAACTATGCAACAGATAAAGGGTTAATAACCAGAATCTACAAAGAGATCAAGAAACTCCACAAAAACAAAACCAACAACCCAATTAAGAGATGGGCCAAGGACCTCAATAGACATTTTTCAAAAGAGGAAATCCAAATGGCCAACAGGCACATGAAAAAATGTTCAAGGTCATTAGCAATCAGGGAAATGCAAATCAAAACCACAATGAAGTTTCACCTCACCCCGGTTAGAATGGCTCACATGCAGAAATCTACCAACAACAGATGCTGGTGAGGATGTGGGGAAAAAGGGACACTAACCCACTGTTGGTGGGAATGCAAACTGGTCAAGCCACTATGGAAGTCAGTCTGGAGATTCCTCAGAAACCTGAAGATAACCCTACCGTTCGACCCAGCCATCCCACTCTTTGGAATTTACCCAAAGGAATTTAAATTGGCAAACAAAAAAGCGGTCTGCAGCCTAATGTTTATTGCAGCTCAATTCACAATAGCTAAGACCTGGAACCAACCTAAATGCCCATCAACGGTAGACTGGATAAAGAAATTATGGGATATGTATTCTTTAGAATACTATACCGCAGTAAGAAACAACGAAATCCAGTCATTTGCAACAAAATGGAGGAATCTGGAACACATCATGCTGAGTGAAATAAGCCAGTCCCAAAGGGACAAATACCATATGTTCTCCCTGATCGGTGACAACTGACTGAACACCAAAAAGGAAACCTCTGAAGTGAAATGGACACTATGGGAAACGGTGACTTGATCAGCATAGCCCTGACTGTTAATGAACAACTTAATACATTATCCCTCTTAGTAGTTTTTTTTTGTCTGTTCTACTTAATATGACTGGTTTAATTCTGTAATTAATACACAGTTATTCTTAAGTGTTGAAAATTAACTGAAATGTGATCCCTGTTAAACATAAGAGTGGGAATAAGAGAGGGAAGAGATGTATAATTTGGGACATGCTCAAGCTGACTTGCCCCAAATGGTAGAGTTAGAAACATACCAGGGGATTCCAATTCAATCCCATCAAGGTGGCATGTACCAATGCCATCTCACTATTCCAAGTGATCAATTTCAGTTCACAATTGATCATAATGAAAGGACTAAGAGTCAAAGGGAGCACATAAACAAGTCTAGTACCTGCTAACACTAACCGATAGAATAAATAAAGGGGAGAGTGATCCAACATGGGAAGTGAGATACTCAGCAGACTCATAGAATGGCAGATGTCCTAAATAGCACTCTGGCCTCAGAATCAGCCCTAAAGGCATTCGGAGCTGGCTGAAAAGCCCATGAGAGTATTTCAGGCATGGAAAGCCAAGACACTCTGGCAAAAGATCTCTGCGAGTGAGATCCCAGTGGAAAGAACAGGTCTTCAAAGAAGGAGGTACCTTTCTCTGAAGGGAGGAAAGAACCTCCACTTTGACTATGACCTTGTCTAAACAAGATAAGAGTTGGAGAACTCAGAGGGCTTCCATAGCCTTGGAAACTCATGACTGGAGCATAGGGAGACTACTGATGCCATAGACAGGAGTGTCAATTGGTAAAGTCAACAACAGGAGTCACTGTGCACTTACTCCTCATGTAGGATCTCTGTCCTTAATGTGCTGTGTATTGAGATTTAATGCTATAACGAGTACTCAAACAATATATTTCACTTTGTGTTTCTATGGGGGTGCAAACTGTTGAAATCTTTACTTAATGTATACTAAACTGATCCTCTGTAAAAAAAAAAAAAAAAAAAGGAAAGAAATTATCAACTCCCAACTTGACTCTCACTGGGATTAAACATGACAATAGGTCTGATCTGATTTCATCATCATTTAAAAAAAATCATCTATTATTTTTCACTTTATGTTTCTGTGTGGGAGCAAACTGTTGAAATCCTTACTTAATGTATACTAAGCTGATCTTCTGTATATTAAGATAATCGAAAATGAATCTTGATGTGAATGGAAGGGGAGAGGGAGTGGGAAAGGGGAGGGTTGTGGGTGGGAGGGACGGTATGGGGGGGAAGCCATTGTAATCCATAAATCGTACTTTGGAAATTTATATTCATTAAATAAAAGTTAAAAAAAAGACAAAACATACTTTAAATCAAAATATTTAGAAAGAGACAAAAGCAACCCATTATAGTAAAGTTGTGTATTCTTCAAAGGGTTACAACAATTATAGATCAACATACTCCCCTAAGACTGGAGCACCCACATACATAAAGCAAATATTAATGCCCCAAGAGAGGAGTGCAATAAGGAAACAGGAAGTGACCTTAATCCCCACTTTCAGTAACAGATCATGAAGCTAGAAGATTAATAAACACTGCAATTTACAAGATGTCAGACTACATGGACTTAACAAACACAGAACATTCATCCACAACAACTGGAGTCATACACTTCAGGTATAAATGGATACTCCTGGGAATGGCACTGTGGTGTAGTGGGTAAAGCCATCACCTGCAGTGCCAGCATCCCATATGGATGCCAGTTCAAGTCCCAGCTGCTCCACTTCCAATCCAGCTCTGTGCTGTGGCCTAGGAAAGCAGTGGAAGATGGCCCAAGTGCTTGGGCCCCTGTCCCCACATGGGAGACCCAGAAGAAGCTCCTGGCTCCTAGCTGCGGATCGGCACAGCTCCGGCCATTGCAGCCATCTGGGGAGTGAACCAGCAGATGGAAAACCTCTCTCTCTCTCTCTCTCTCTCTCTCTCTCTCTCTCTCTCTCTCTGCCTCTCTGTAACTCTGCCTTTAAGAGGAAAGAAGGAAGGAAGGAAGGAAGGAAGGAAGGAAGGAAGGAAGGAAGGAAGGAAGGCAGGCAGGCTCTCCCAGATAGGCCTCAAGGCCATATCCAAACACAGAGATGAGATTGGACCCCACTTCAGAGCATTTACAAAAGTCCACTCAAATGAATTGAAGTGCTGCACATACTCTGTAAGATCGGTAGAAGAAAACATAGTAGGGAACATGGACATCGTGCGGGCAATGGTTTTCAGATTTGATCCCAAAAATAAAGACAACTAAAACAAAAACCAACAAATGGGATTAATTAAAATAAAAAAACTTCTCTACAAGGAAGCAGTTAATCAGTGAAGAAGCAATCACTGATGCTTCATGGAAAGTGTAGGGGACAGTGTCCCAAAGGATTCAGCTGTGTATGATGGGCATCATTCAAGCAGGGAGGAGATGATGTTGGAGATGACATTGACTATGATGCTCACGGAAGCAGACCGTCCACATCAACCTGCAAGGGAAATTAACCACCGCTTCAGTGCCCAGGTGGAGGAGGACCACGATTAACAGCAGCAGCAGCAGCAGCCAACACCACAGACACCTCCACTGGCTCAGCCTACACCATTCTGACAGAGAGATCAGAGGTGGCCAGTCTCCTGCCTGCTGGTGCCGACCACTGTGCCCAGAGGAGCTGCAGACGCGGGCGGCAGCCTCTCGACAGCAGTCCCCAGCAGCGGCACCAAGGGCCTGCGCGCTCTTTGAAGAGCTATAGTGGGAGAGGAGACTGGCTTCAAAGGCAGCATCCCAAAGTGAAGCAGCACAACAGCTACCAAGAGGCGGACACAGCTCAGCCAAGAGCAAAGCCACAGCAAGTTATTTGGGGCGCTCAAGGAACTTCCTTGCTGTCTTTCTAGGGGACCAAGAAAGGACACCATTTGCATGTTAATTCTGAGAACATTAACCAAAGTTTTAGCAGAGGAGATTCTGAGAACACTTCAGCAGAGAGTCCCTCTCCACCACCACAATGCTCTGATGATTCCTCTCATCAACCTTGGCCACCTTTGCAGGGGCCCTCATAGAAAACCATCAGACGTCCACCTCACAGTCCTCATCTGGCTTCTTCTGACCACTTTTTGGTTCCTAATCATCAGAATTTTAGAGCTGCCTAATTTGCATGATAAACTTTAAGTCTTCATTGGATAGGGGGATACAGATAGGTAAAACAAAGTTATATCTGTGTCCATAAATTTCTACACATGCATGCATTTTTACATGTCAACAGAAGAGTGTTCCTTCTATGAATTAAGTATTGGGTCATTCTGTTTTAATACTGTGCTTGCTGCGAATGCATTCTATGACACAAAACCCTTGTGAGTGCTCCTTTCACCTCTGTGTTTCTCAGGCTGTAGATGATGGGGTTCAGCATGGGGGTGATAATCCCATAGAGCATAGAGATGAGCCTGTCTCTCGCAGGGGAGTGTCGGCCAGAAGATGGGCGGATGTAGGTAAATATGGCCGTGCCATAGAACAAACAGACCACAAGGAGGTGGGATGCACATGTGGAGAAGGCTTTGCGCTTCCCTTCCACCGACTGGATCCTGAGGATGGAGGAGATGATGTAGATGTAAGAGATGAGGGTGGTCAGGAAGGCACTGATCCCAAAGATACCTCCGATCACTAAAGCAAGCATTTCTGCCATGTAGGTGGACGAGCATGAGAGGGCCACAATTTGTGGTATGTCACAGTAGTACTGGTCAACCAGATTGGACTTGCAGAAAGACAGCTGGAAGGTGGACATGGTGTGGATGAAGGAATTCAGAAACCCCGCTGCCCAGGTCCCAGATGACAGCTGGACACAGAGAACCTTGGTCATGAGGAGGGTGTAACGCAGTGGGAAACAGATGGCCACATACCGGTCATAGGCCATGACAGCCAGCAGGAAGACTTCAGTCCCAGCTAGAGCCACCAGGAAGTACAGCTGCAAAGCACACCCAATGAAAGAAATGCCACGCTCCTCGGTCAAGAGATTCTGCAGCATCTTGGGGACAGTGGTTGATGAGCAGAACATGTCTATGAGGGACAGATTTGCCAGGAAGTAGTACATGGGAGTGTGCAGCTTTTTTTCTGTTCCAATGGCCAGGAGAATGGCCCCATTTCCCACCAAGGTGATCTGGTAGATGATGACAAAGACCACAAAGAGAGGGTAGCGCACCTTGGGCAGGTCGGAGAGCCCCATGAGGACAAACTGAGCCACCGTGCTAAGATTGTGGACGTCCATCCCCTCTCACAGGCCTTTCTGGAAAGAGAATAGCAGCAAACGCTGATTAGGGTGAGAAGCCAGGGAGCACAGTGATGAGAAGCTCTTGAAAATCTTTGTGGGTGTCTGGTTGATGATGAATTAGTTAGCCCTACTTTAATTAAAAATTCCAGGTGTTAAAGCTACTATTTAAAATAAGTCCAAAACTCCAGATATTCCTGGAACTATTTGTCCTCAGCACCTCCTAAAGGGGAAGCCCTGTGAGCAACTAAAGTGACCCCTAACCACCACATTCTTAGTAGAGACATTCAACAACCACCTTCCTGGGAAACACGCTGTTGACCCTTCAGCATTCGCTGGGGCTTCACATTCAGCCAAAGCTGAGGGTGCACTCCCCACCGTTCCTTGCATGCTTAACTCAGCTCTGCCTTATATTATCTCAATGTGGATACTTCATGCACTGTTTCAGTACTAAACATCTTCAAGGTAGAAACTGTGTACCACATATTTTTGTGTATGTTACATGTTTTGTGTATATTTTTATACTTGTGTATATTCCTTGATATATAAATTTTTGTAAATGAATCAGCAACACATAGGAAAACACAGAAAAATAATGGAGGGATGAATCAATGGTCTTTTACACATAGACAATATACAAGGAGTCTTTAAAACGTTACTAGAAAAGGTAGATTATGAAAGTAATGTGCATGGGGGGGCCAGTGCTGTGGCGTAGTGGGTAAAGCTGCTGCCTGCAGCGCTGGCATCCCATATGGGCGCCTGTTCGAGACCCGGCTGCCTCTCTTCCAATCCAGCTCTCTGCTATGGCCTGGGAAAGCAGTAGAAGATGGCCCAAGTCTTTGGGCCACTGCACCCATGTGGGAGACCTGGAAGAAGCTCCTGGCTCCTGGCTTCGGATCGGCACAGCTCCAGCTGTTGCAGCCATCTGGGGAGTGAACCATCAGATGGAAGACCTCTCTCTTGCTCTCGCTCTCTCTCTCTATGCCTCTCCTCTCTCTGTGTAATTGTGACTTTTAAGTAAAATAAATAAATCTTTTAAAATAGAATAATATGCATGGATTTCAAAATTTATTGCACCAAAATAACTGCATTTTTTATTCCATTCCATGAACTTTTTAAAGCTACCTCCTGTCTCTGTTGGGAAGAAATAATAAGAGTATGCTCCATAACTTCAAATTTCCATCACTAAAACATCAACCTTGACATTCTCCCTGAGAGTTCACACACTCACCATGAGTAAGATTTACCAAAAGACTTTTGAGGCCAGCACTGTGGCATAGCAGGTAAAGCCACTGCCTGCAGTGCTGGCATCCCATACGAGTGCCTGCTAAAATCCTGGCTGCTCAACTTCCAGTCTAGCTCCCTGCTATGGCCTTGGAAACAGCAGAAGATGGCCCAAGTCCTTGGGCCCCTGCACCCATGTGGGGTACCTGGAAGAAGCTCCCAGCTCCTGGCTTCAGATCAGCCCAGATCTGGCAGTTGTGGCCATTTAGGGCATGAACCAGTGGATGGAAGACCTCTCTCTTTCTTTCTCTGCCTCTATAACTCTGTCTTTCAAATAAATAAATCTTAAAAAATAAAAGACTTTAATTAAAAGTCTACAAATCAATACTTCTGTGGAATTTTTTCTTTCACTTTGTAAATTTCTTGCAATAGAAAATTCAAAGATATAAATTGTTGAAAAAATAAAATGCAAAAGTTAATTTCCATGGTTTCCCTCCAGTTTATTTATCCTGGTGGGAAAAAAATACTGATTTATTTTCTTAAAAAATGTATATCCCAAGTAACAAAAATCATACGTAATGATTGGCTCACTCAAATAGCATGAAACTATTTTCTACTCCATTTTCCCCATAATATCTAAGACACTATGGCACTTGGGAGATGCTCTGTCTCTTTTCTTGAGCAACACCAGGTCTGTGCCACATTTTGGAGAAAACAAACATTTACTGGTGATCTCTTTAAATCATGAAATATGGAAAATTATTATAATAGTCATAAAATGCTTGTACATCAATGTTCAGTCTACAAAAGATGCTTAATGAATGAGAAAATAGGTTAAACCAAAGTAATTGTCATAGCAATTTTCAGATTCTCAAATATTCATCATTCTATAGAGCCATTAAGTTTATCTAAATCCTTACATGTTAATATTTTTGATATATAGAAAAGGTGTTTAAGTAAGATAATTTTTAAGAAGAGACAGTAAATAATGTGCATGTTAAATGCTCATTTTCTGTTAACTCACACAATATGACTTTTTAAAAAACAACTACTGTGGCTAGCGCTGTGGCAGAGTGGGTTAAAGCCCTGGTCTGTGGCATCGGCATCCCATATGGGCGCCAGTTGGAGTCCTAGCTGCTCCACTTCCAACTGGGCTCTCTGCTATGGCCAGAGAAAGCTGTGGAAGATGTCCCAAGTCCTTGGGCCCCTGCACCCAAATGGGAGACCCGGAGGAAGCTCCTGGCTCCTGACTTCGGATCAGCTCAGCTGTGGCTGTTGCAGCCATTTGGGGAGTGAACCAGCGGAGGGAAGGCCTCTCTCTCTTTCTCTCTCTCTCTCTCTCTGGCTCTATCTCTCTGTAGCTCTGTCTTTCAAATAAATAAAATAAATCTTAAAACAAACAAAAAAAAGCCAACTACTATGGAAAATAAGTCAACAGCAACATCCTAATTAATACACATGGCCTAACTGATGCCACATTATCAACATGTATCCTTCAAAACATAATACACTCTCAGTAAATTTTGCATTTGATTATTTAAATTTGTTAAACGTTTTGATTTAGAGAATGCAGAATTTGGTCATGTGAGGAGAGAACAATCTCTTTCTAAAGCACACATAACTAAATCATGTATTTGCCACATAATTAGAAACATGAGATGGATGTCTTCCTAACAGTGCACTTATGAGGAAGAACTTCAGTGATTTTTCTATTAACCCCAGGAATTGATAGTTCCTGTAGTCTAGAATCAGAGAAGCCCTTAAGAAGTCCAGTCCATCTGCTTGCCTGTGTGGTTACTTGGTGTTAAGTTTGTATCTGTAAGTACTGCAACATATGGGCCCGGCAGTTGGCAAGGCCACTAAGACATTGCTTGGGATGCCCACATCCTGTATCAGAGTTCCTGGCTACTGAGCTTCTAGTCCAGCTTCCTGATAACATGCAGATGACAGCTTAGGCATTATCGTCCTTGCCACCCACACGAGAGACCCCAGTCGAGTCCTGGGCTCCTGGCTTTGGCCTGACCCAGCACTGTCTGTTACAGGAATTTGGGGAGTGGACCAGTATATGGATGATCCCTGTTTTCATCTTTCAACTTTAAGAAAAAAATTAAACATTCAATGAGAATCAAAATAAGAGATATGTGGCTAGGATTGGCCCTCTACTGGAGATTTCATAGAAACCAAACTTTTTATTATTTCTGTAACTTATGATTTTGTATAAGGTCAAAGCCAAACACACTATATATAAAACGTTCCTCTTTGGAAAACAGTTATTTCAAGTTTGCACTATATAGAGGAAATAAAATCAGACAATTGAGCAAAAGTATCAACATATACATTTTGGATCTTAACATACTAGATACAATTATATGTTATATAGTCTATCATTATCAAGGCTATATTACACTTGTATTTTAAAAATAGAAAATTGTATTACCAATAAAAATTTCCAACAAGAAGAAAACAAGATGACCCATCGACAAACTGCACCAGTAAATTAAAGCAAATGCATCATCTGAATTTAAGACTAGTGTTAGGGTTTTGTGTACAATTTATATTATGCACATTTTCCCCTTGGGAGAGAATTATAGTAAGGACTCCAGAGAGAACACTCTTGCCTTCTTCAAAAGTCTACATTATGACCAACTGAATAGTGGGGACACAGTCAATCAATCTAACACACATTGAAAAAAATCTAAGTTATACAAGTGACACATTTTTAATTTATGTCTTACAGATACTAAAAGTTGTATTACTATGGGGTACCATGTGATGTTTCAATCCATGTATTCCTTGTGTAACAGCCACAGCCAAATCACAGTGAGCATTTCTATCTCTTTCCTCAGTAAAAACACTGGAAATAGGTTTTGAGCTTTTTTGAATTATACATTTTTATTTTCTGTAATGGCCTACAGTAAGATAAAGTATTTTCTAAGAATTTAATTGCCAAACCTAAGTAAAAAAATAAAATGTTGGTGCAGGCACTGTGGCATGTCAGGTAAATCCACTGCCTGTAACACTAGCATCCTAGACAGGTGTCAGCTCATGTTCCAACTGCTCCACTTCCAATCCAGCTCCCTGCTAATGGCCTGGGAAAAGCAGCAGGAGATGACTCGAGTAGTTGAGCCCCTGCCACCCACCTGAGAAACTCAGATGAAGCTCCTGGCTCCTGGCTTTGGCCTGGTTCTGCCCCATTGTTGCAGCCCTCTGAGGAGTGAACCAGCATATGGAAGGTCTCTCTCTATCTCTCTCTCTCTCTCCCTCCCCATCCTTCTCTCCCCCTCTTTCTCTGTAACTCTGGCTTTCAAATAAATAAATAAATTTTTTTAAAAGAATAAAATGTTATTGATATTACTATAATCAAAGTAATCAGTCCTCCAAAATATGACTATACCATCAACTTTTTATAAATTTCCATTGTTCATGGAAGATATGAAAATGTTAGCATTTTATGTGTTCCACACACCTATATTGTGAACGCAACATGTCACCCACATGGACACCTGAGTTGTGGAAATTGGCATCCAAAGTAATGGAAATTCAAAGTCATTTTAACCTGTAACTCCTAACTCAACTTTTTGGCAATACATTAATTAAATGACAAAACCATACAGATGATAGATAGATAGATAGATAGATAGATACAATGCAATTAATGAATCAAGGTGAGAGGAAAATAAGTGTATGTTGTAATATTTTAATTTTATATAATTTTAACTTTTCAAAATAAATTGGGAAAAATCAAACGAATATAAAAAATAACACAGGAAAAATCTGTGTTACCCTCACATCCCCTCTCAACTTCCATAGTTTTGTAGAAAAGCAACAACTCAACTTCATACTGCATTTCTTCTTGGAAACCTTCTCTTCCTAGCTAACCATGAAGGTGAGGCACATGGGCTGTACATATGTAGATTTGCCTTATTTCTTTATTGATAATTGGAAGGTTTATAATTTCTCTTTGTGTTTTCACATCTGTGTATTTTATAAAATAGATTTTAACCTCTATTGTTTTTTTTTTTTTTTGACAGGCAGAGTGGACAGTGAGAGAAAGGTCTTCCTTTTCCATTGGTTCACCCCGCAATGGCTGCTGTGGCCAGCACGCTGCGGCCAGCCAGCGCACTGCGCTGATCCGAAGCCAGGAGCCAGGTGCTTCTCCTGGTCTCCCATGCGGGTGCAGGGCCCAAGCACTTGGGCCATTCTCCACTGCACTCCCAGGCCACAGCAGAGAGCTGGACTGGAAGAGGAGCGACCAGGACAGAATCCAGCGCCCTGACCGGGACTAAAACCTGGTGTGCCGGCGCCGCGGGCCTAACCTCTATTGCTTCATATTTGACTTTACCCTGTGTGACTTTGGGAAA